GATTCGAGTCTCTCGTTCAGAGACTGGATACGAAATGAGGATCTCTCTATGAGCGACTCGAGTCTCTCGTTCAGAGACGCTAAACAGTTTTTTTGACAGTCTCTCTGAGCGACACCAGAGAGACTCGATGAGAGACGGAGACTCGAGTCTCGCTTTGAGAGACTCTGAGAGACTGAACATTTTTATCTCGAGAAGGTGTCCTATCTCGCCTATTTCTTATTGACTTCCATAGAGTCCTCTGTTTTCCTATTCTTTTTAATACCTCTTTATTTTTAAACTTCTCCATCCACGGTATCCTCATCATTGCGGACATAAAAAAGAAAAAAAAAACCTGATCTATAACAAGAGTGACGACACCTTACAAATATCGATTAATTTATTGAAAATCCTCACAGTTATTTTCGTTCGCTTTTTATTTTGGTTTGGCTATAAATGGGAAGCGATGAAAAATCCCGACTTTCCATACTAGAGTGAACCCCTAAGTTGATTAAAAATTCGTAAACTTCCGCAAATTTCAATAACGGATCGAACAGCATAGTTTTCGACGAACAGCCACCGACGCAACGTAAAAAGCTTTCAAAGCTCCCAACTTGGAACACGTCACAAGTTTCCAACTTTGCAAGCGAGATCAGACACTCGAGAATTTATTCACGTAAGTTAGATGCTTTAGGTTTTACCATACAGCTCAAGTTTATACGTACGTACGGGTACTTGAAACTGTCGTCAGCCCTGCAAGACACTAAACTCAATGCACTGGTGTGTGCACATACAGAAATTTATGTTAGTTACTCAGTTGAACGCCTATACGTGTAACAAGCTTAACTAACTACCCACCATTTCATAACATATAAAGGACGTAATTAGGATCCTCCGCATTTGTTACAACAGGACGCGAATAAATAAACAAATCCACGCGCAAAAGTTACACAGTTTTGACAGTTCTGCCTCACCTACGTACGAAGTCGCATTTAAATAGCTTACTTCAGCTTTACAGTTGTATGACGAACTACTCAAGTTTATTAGATACTAATTTAATCAGATAAGTCGCTAAATTTATTGCACTAGTAGTTCGTGCATTACAAGCAAACTTTGAGACCGCCATGGACGACTTCAACTAAAATTGAAAAAGATTGCGATCTGCAGGAGAAATGAGTACTTAGGTAGGACAAAGAACTAACTTTTACTTTAATTAGAAAATACCACAAATGGCGCGGTGAACGTCATCTGTAGTACGATTTTACATTTTACGATTACGTATCCTCCAACAAGGTCCATTTAAATATATGGATATCGACTTGCTGAAACGAATCCCGGCGTAGCCATCCTCAACGTGATAGGCACGTTACCATAATCGAATAAAATAATTCGAGGTGGTTTGTAGGCTGTCGAAACTGCTAGATGCGGATCACGATTTCGATCTTTTTGGATCTCATAAGCGCGTCGCAGAACACAGACCAACTTTTACCCGCTGTCCTTACAGCGCGTTTTAGAAAATACCACAAATCGCGCGGTGAACGCCATCTGTAGTACGATGCCACATTTTAGGATTACGTATGCTCCAACAAGGTCCATTTAAATATATGGATATCGACTTGCTGAAACGAATCCCGGCGTAGCTAACCTCAACGTGATAGGCACGTTACCATAATCGAATAAAATAATTCGAACTGTATTTTGTCGAAACTGCCAGACGCGGATCGCGATTTCGATCTTTTTGTTCGATTATGGTAACGTGCCTATCACGTTGAGGTTAGCTACGCCGGGATTTGTTTCAGCAAGTCGATATCCACGTATTTTAATGGACCTTGTTGGAACATACGTAATCCTAAAATGTAGCATGGTACTACAGATGGCGTTCACCGTGCCATTTGTGGTATTTTCTAAAACGCGCTGTTAAGGCAGCAGGTAAAAGCTCCGACAGAACACAGACCACTTCATATTATTTTATTGAACTTTTATTTTGTCATTTTTTATTGTGGTGTAGTATCTATCGTATGTCTTATTTTTAATTTTAACAAGAAGGATCCCTTTTAGTTGATATGTTATGGTCAAAGACCGATATGTAGGTACTCCTTGGTTTGATTGACTGACTGACATTGTCTGACAACTGTAATCAAATTGATACCTGCCGCAGGTATAAGTTAATTTTTGCTCTGGTTCTACTTTTGTCCATGAAGATACAAGTAGTTTGTTGTTCGACCGAGCGGCATAGCCTAGAGGTCTAGACCATTGCTTAGCATTCGGAAGGACGCCGGTTCGATTCCGGGTCCGTCTGCCTTGGTCCAAGTTTTTCTGTGGTTTCCTTGGATCGCTTAGGCAAATGCTGAGGCGGTAATATTCCACAGATAATCTTTCATTCTCTTCTGTCTTCATTTCGTCCGTCTCATCTTTCTCACCCGAACCACCACCCACCCATTCCCACGATTCCTGAAAGCAGGCTGAAGAGGGCCTTCCTCCCTACCTTCCGGCGTAGTCCGGAGGGACTGCCCACCCACCAGCATTACTGGCTGGTGGGAATGAAACACCCAAAAGTTTTTTTTTTTTTGTTCGATATTTTTTACTTCTTTCAAATGCCCTGTGCTATTTATGCGTTGGAGGAACTATAAGTTCCAGAAATTTTAATAACTCTCACAATTATCGACACTATTAAGTGAGCAAGACCTAGACTAGACGTATTTGCGTAAGACCAAGACCAAATTAATTTGCATGTAACACATGTACATCGCTATTGTCTTTTTAACCTTAAATTTGAGTAATACTTACTGCTCTATCCAATCTTTAGCATATAATAGACAAATTCGTTTCGAGCATGAACGATCCAAGTAGGTATGGCTAGTGATTTGATTCTAACCGTAAACGTTTAATTGGAAATTAGTCTACATTTCGTACTTTATTCTCATTTAAATATCAACTAAACAGTTTCATTCCAGACGGAGTATAAATAACTGTAAAAGATATATTTCATACCAAAAAAATACTAGATGCCGATAAGTTGTAAAATTAAATACATAGCTCATTAAGACCTAATTACGCTCAGTAAATCAGCAGCTGCTTGTACGTATCGCTGGCAACGTTTATATCAACTTAGTTATCGGAATGTTGCCTGTAATCGACGAGTGTAAGTTCTGTAAAAGTAGTCTGAAATTGACTGCTCCTTGCAAATGAGAAACTGAATAGTTACCAAGCAAAAGTGATGAAGCCGTTGCCTGATGAGTTCCGATAGAAACTCTTGTGCACTTAATGGAATGAGACATTTTTTGTCTTGTAAGTAAGGTTATTTATATAGAAGGCGTAACAGAGAAAGAGGCTTCATTTTCCTGTTAAAGTAATTCCACCTTTTTAAATGACCGCAGCTAAACCATCTCAAACATTTCCTTCGAATCGTTTTGCTTTCAATTAGTTATTGAGTTGGTGTTAAAGTAGCATCCAACAAGCGCACAATCACCAACAGCACTTATTTATTATCGTATTTATCCCTCAAACTGTTACTAATTCACATCCTGTTTACGACCACCAGCTAAAGTAAACGAGAAAATCGATTATAGATTTCTACAGAATTAATTCATTTGCGTTGAATCGATTATCCGCAAGTTCTTTTAAATAACCACTGTTTGTCTGTATGTAACGTTTCGTTTTTGTAATTAGTGGCAGGATAAAGATGCTTTCACGCCCATTAAGTATTTCTACACTTTAATGTAAGTATTTTAGTGGATACTTCTTAATATATAATTCTTTTTGTTTCAGGTATGAGCTTGAAGACTTAAGGTGAGTTTTCCCAAGATACATTTAGTATTTTACTAGAGTTTTCAGATGCCTTGTTGCACAGTTTTCACTCAATAATTTTTATTCAAACTTCCCAGTTGTTTTAACTTTTAGTCCGATGTTATGTTATAGTATTAAAAATATGACGGTTGAAGGTAGCTAGATCTCTTACTCTAGGTCACAAGTAAATAAAATACGTAAAGGATAAATACTAGATGATCGAAAAATGTCGATGTGTTGCGCCTAACGCTGTGACCTGGGCTCTATTAGATCTTGTTACGTCGTTAATTTAATTAATTAATAGTCCTCTAAAAAGACAAATGACTATCGATACGCAGTAATACCCAACCCCGAATCGTGATGCTTTACATTTTATCGACTCGCTTTTCAAAATTATAGATCCAACGATTTAGAGATTTTAAGCACCTATGCGCGAGGTATGCTAAAGACATCAGGTATAGCTAATGAGTAAGTTCTGTCAAAGGTCCCGAGTTCGATACCCGGCAAGGGCTTGACGGTAGCAACAATTTTTCCTCATTATAATTTGAGGTAATTTGTAGTGGATAAAAATTAAATGAATTTTCACATTAATATTAAATATCAACCACTATTAAAAGTCTTAAAAGTATTTCATTTGCTATCAGATCTAACTAAATACATATCTAAGGAACTAGCTGCTACAGAAATTCTAGAGATTTCGTTTTTCGGATATCACACCATCCGACTATATACTATGTATCACAGGGTAGTCAGTCCAATGTGTAGTTGAGGAAATGTCTCCACTCCTTCCTATTCTGAGTCAATCCTCGGATTTCCCAAAAACGACAACATCCCACACCTCGTAACTATTTGAAAATAGTAATCTAACCTAACCACTCTTTACCCTTTCACTCCTGTTTCTGGTCAATGTATATATCTAAACAGCCCTTTAAGTTTCCACCGCAAAAAAATGACGACAAAGAAATGTGTTGTAGGTTCATTGTTCGGTGAACGTTTTGCTTTACCTGTATATATATGCGATACATGCAAGCACGTGCAGTAAATAAGAATAAGATGTTGTTACATACGTCTCAATTTACGTATATATATATATATATGTGTGTGCATCAACCGCATCCTTACTCTTTCTCGTTTTTGCTTCCAAAAATCTCTGACATTCGATAGCTTTGAATAAATTTCGGATTCTCAGGCAGCATGACAGCGTGGTAATGCGCGGTTTACTCGTCTCCGTTTTACCGCTCCCGACTACGACTACATTACCGCCCGCCACTCGTTTGTCGATAAGTTGACGAACAGGAAACCTCTTTCAATAATATTAAATAACACGATCATCTCATTCGATCATCTGCAGGCATTCAGTCGCATACGTTCCTACCTGTAGGGCGGATAAAATACAGGTATGGCTAAAGCTTCACCAAAAATAGAATGAATTGTTAGGTCCACATGTTTCGTCGACAACTGCGGCTGATTATAAGATGACTGAAAGTATTTGTATTACTTTTCTTATACTACAACAATTGGAAAATTTGAAAGTTGATATGAACAAAATAGAATTAGATATAGTATGCATTGGTGAAGCCCTTTGGTCCGAAGCTGAAGACTCCTGGAGAGGAGACTTTAGAATAATGAATACAGGATCCGTGAAAGGTGATTCGGGGGTGGGAATTGTAATGCGTAAGAAAGCAGGGCAGAGTGTATAAAGTTATTTACAAAAAAGCGATAGGATAGTTATGGTTAAATTAAACTCGAAGCCGGTAAAAACGGTATTGGTGCAGGTTACAATGATGAAGACGTAGAAGCGGTTTATGCAGATATAGAAGACGTGTTAAGTTTAGTAAAAGGGCAGGAAAACCTAATAATTTTAGGAGACCTCAACGCAGTAATAGGTGAAGGTAAAGACGGAGCAACAGCAGGTTCTTTTGGATTAGGTAATAAAAGTGATAGGGGAGATAGACTGATAGAATTTTGCGATAAACAAAACTTAACCATCGCGAATACTTTATTCAACCATCACGTTAGGAGGAGCCATACGTGGAAGTTGCCAGGTGATTTAGGGAGATATCAGTTAGGCAAAGATTTAAAAATCAAGTGAAGGAGTGTAGGAGTTATCCAGGAGCAGATATAGATAGCGATGATAACTTAGTAGTTATGAAGATCAATCTTAAATTGAAAATTCTGGGAAAGAGATAAGATAGGAGCCGTCTTGACTTAGAAAAGCTACGATGTAACGAAACGCGTGATAGACGAAATACTAAAGGAGGCAGGAGAAACGAATGATTGTTAAGTGTATATTTGAAGCGTGGCGCTGTACGTTAAAAAAAAAGGTTAGAAGCGTTCGAAATGTGATGTTACAGACAAATGATGAGGATACCGTGGATAGAGAAGGTTAGAAATGAAAAGATATTAGAAAGAATAGGAGAACAGAGGATTCTATGGAAGTCAACAAGAAATAGGCGAGATAGGTTGGGAGTACATCTTCTCAGGCATGAAGGTCTAGTCAGAGACATATTAGAGGTAGAAACGGGAGTTAGGAAGGATAGAGGTAGACCTAGATTAGATTACTGTTTGCAAATAGTTAAAGATGTGGGTTGTTCTAGTTTTCGGTAAATTCGAAGATTAGCTCAGGATAAGAAGGATTTGAAGTGCGTGTCTAACCAGTCTGACTACCTTAAGATGATGACGTCGATTTTTGATGATTGCATGCAAAAGTGTATATATATACCTATGTTGGTTTCTTGATTCACATCTAGTACGTATAACGAGACGCTAGTACATTATTGAAATACATTGATGAAAAGGTTATTTTCTATGCGATGGTCATTAAAAATAACGGTAGTAGAAGTCATATTGCTAATAAATTCTTATAGTTTTATGCCATATAATAAATTTACATTAGCCGAGACATCAACTGGCTGGAATTAGTTTTGTATCAAAAGAAACCCTGAATTTTTAATGGTTTCTTTCGATTAACGCATATATGTACCTAGTAAATATTACGTAATGAAGGTTGGGTTTGATGCGCAATTATTTACAATAGTCGTGATGATCTCGTCAAACTTTAGTGGCCGTTTTATCTTTTTTTTTTGTTGATCGGTTTTTAAAGTAACGTCACTGTAGAAACAATTTATTACGGCACCCAAATGCCTCGTACGGTACAATTAGAGTGATTAATTTAGCATAGAAATTGCTTACATACCCAAATGTGTTATTATGCTGCTCGTAGGTACATTTATGAATAGATAAGAACTATTAGCAGTGTAGATACCTAATCTGCTCAAAGCGATTCGTATAAAGAAACGGGACTTCACCGCAATACTATTAACCTTAATTTTTTCTGAATTCCTCTTTCGTCATTGTCAGTGTAAATGCTTTTCAATGCCGTTGAACAATAGTTGTAATAAGAAGAAGGCGAGAACAAGTCCCATTGACACAAAATGAAATTAATATGGAGTTCTAAAGTGACAAAAATTTGTTCTTACACTTTTTGACGTGACAGCGTCTTATAATTCGATGGAGCCCGCTGCACGCACGAAAAAACATGACTCATGCGGCGTTACCTCGCTCTGAGGCGTTCCATTTAAGGCTTGAAGTGCAAGCGAGAGCGCGGAACGAGCGACAAAGAGGCACAATCGGCCTCCGCGTTCGGCAGCGTTCGACATCTGTCTCTCTCCTACTCGAGTGAGCGATGCGTCTGCGTGGACAGCTGCTATACAATAATACATTTCCATTTACCTCCTTCTCTATATCCATACAAAATATCTATCAAACAAATAAAATTAAAATTTTCTTTTGAAAAATGAAACCATTCCATCAGTATTTTCTTATGACGTTGTCACGTTCAACTATCGTCAGTAAACCGACTTTACAGACAACCGATTCTTCTATTTACAATCGCAGCACAAGCGTGACTAATAAAACAGGCATCAAGGTTTTTGTGTAATTTGGACCTAGATATGTTATATTATTTTTTATTATTTACTAGTTGCCCCGACAGACTTCGTTCTTTCAAAAGTTATTGGCCTTACCTACTCCAGTACAAAAAATAAATAAATAAAACGCATTTTAGAGTAATCAGTTAACACCCATATAGCCTAACTAACTTGAATACATGCTAAAGATAATCCTAACGCATTTTGATTGACGTCAAATGTTTGACAGCTGGGGACAAATATTTTAATTTACCCTGTGGTCTGCATGGGAAGAGAAAAGTGTGGTTTTTACGTTTTTCTGGGCAATGTTACCAATTTTTCTCTTCATAAGAACCTTCCCCAGACTTCAAGGACTATTAAAAAAAAAAATTATCGAAATTGGTGCAGCCGTTCTCGAATTTTGCGCTTAGCAACACATTTAGCGATTTATATCGATTCAGTTGAATAATTTGGTCAGTAGTAGGGACTAGTAGACTGGTGCATATTTCGTTGTAATCGCCCTGTATATTTCGTACAGAACCAACTTTATCTTTACCTACATTCGAATATGCATAATGGGTCGTATTTGGAGAATTCGCGATTGTAATTGGTAATTTCTTAAGTACGCAATTACATTTGATGTCAAATTTTATTACATTTGCAGTAGAGTTTCATTTACTTGAGTTTAATTTTCAGGTTCATTACTTAAGGTCAAATCGACCGACTGTGTTTCTTGTAATGTAACTTTTATAAACGTCTTCAGTATCTTATTCTTAAATCACTACATGCCACTGATGGTAAGTACCGCCGGTATTTTAATGGTACGCAAAATAAGATTCGTAAACGGCAAATTATTAACAATTTTTAATCGCTATTGGACAAATCACGATTCATTTATTTTCAAGATGGCTTAATCTGTTACGGGCATTTGAAACTTTACGGTAATTAAATACTGCAATGATGCTAATTCATTGTAGGAATTAAGTAATTATACGGTACATTATGCGTATCTGTTTCAAGATTATACGCACGTTTAATTTTTTTACTGCCGTCTACACAGCGATATTTTAAACATTTCACTTTTGCTGCTGTTGC